TACGAAGTGATGAAAAATGTGTACGGTAGTGATTTTTTGAGTCGCTCGAACATTTTTCGATGGTATGCTGTATTTCGTGACGGCAGGGAGGACATTGAAGACGCTCCACATGCATCAAAGCCGAGAACAAGTCGTACTGAAGAAAATGTGAAAAAAGTGACCGAAATCCTTGCATCAAACAGATGTGTTTCTGCAGGACTCATCGAGGAGCTTTTGGGAATACCAAAAGTACTGTGCATCAAATTTTTACCGAGGATTTGGGCAAACGGAAGGTCAGTGCGCGGTTTATACCGCACGCGCTGTCAGGTGATGAAAAACATATCAGAGTGGAACACTGCAAAGACATGTTACGGTCGACCCAAAGTGTGTATGTGTTTACAGAGTTTGGTTTCTCTTGTATGTTGAATATGCAATCTGCTGACTTTCTGTTCATGACGTAATGATTATGTTACTAATTATGCATTCTCAGATATATATTTTAGACAAAAAAAAATAACAGTTAATGTTTTATCGTTTACGCTCGCCAGTCTTCTATGAGATACCAGGGGCTCTTGCCGCTGGTGTAATGCGGACGTTGCATGAAGACGACCAGTAACTTCTATCGAAGTTACTTCGTGGAGCTGTACCTCAACTTCCCCATACATTTTATTTTGTAGTTCTTAATTAAACACACGAACAACTGTATCATTTCCATATTTTTATTTGCTCATTACTTGTTGTTTAAGATACAGGAAGCCGGGAAAATTCAGTGTGCACAATTATGGTCTTCATGGCCGGGGTTCAATTCCTAGCAGAGGCAAGAGATATGTCTCTTTTCTGCAGCATCCAGACCGGCTCTGGGGCCCATCCAGGCTCCTGTCCAATGGGTATCGGGGTTAAAGCAGCCAAGGCGTAAAGCTGACCACTCACCTCCATCTAGTGCTTAGGTCAAGAACGGTACAGCCATACCTCCACTGTCCAATTCATCTTCATGGCTTAGTGCTTAATTAAGCACAGGGACTTTACGTTTACCTTACTGACTATGGACCACTCCTGCAGCCCTGTCATAACGGAAAGTTACGTCACTGCCTGTAAGAATACTGCACGTGTTCAGAGACGAGGGCTATTTCTATTGAGACACGGGACTTCCCCCGAGCGCGCTCCAACCTCAACATCGGTGTCTTCATTAAATGAATTCCCTTTTTTTATCTCCTTGCTTTCAAGTTTCACCCCCTGCCACCCAACCCTTAAGGCAGTACAGGATTGCACATCTCAGCGTCGTTGTAATCCGATATGTCCCTCCTGGCGAGGTACAGTCAGGGAAACACAGTATAGAACCTATTTTGCATAGTGGTAACGGTTAACTCGTGTTCGGGAGGTGCTGGATTCGAATCTCGTCCAGATACCGACTGTCCTCACTGAGTTGTGTCTTCACTTCTGGCAAATGTCGGGCTAGTACCTTGATCGTGCCCGTACCCCTTCCTTCCAGATCCTTCCCAGTGAGGAGCTTCATAACTTGTACTCTTCTCCAGGTATAAATAGAATGAGCAAGTCAAGGAAGATGATGTGGGCAGGGCATGTAGCACGAATGGGGGAGACGAGGAATACATGTAGGATATTGGTGGGAAAGCCAGAAGGAAAGAGACCACTGGGAAGACCAAGGCGTAGGTGGGTGAACAATATTAAAATGGATCTTAGAGAGATAGGATGGGATGGATTGGATTGATCTGGCTTAGGATAGGGACCAGTGGAGGGCTCTTGTGGACACGGTAATGGACCTTCTGGTTCTATAAAATGCTGGAAAATTCGTGAGTAGCTGCAGAATTGGCTTCTCCTCAAAAAGGGCTTAGCTCCATATGTAAGTTCCTCAAGTCCCACCTATAGGACGCGAAACACTGATTCATAGTGTCACGTGCTCAGTATGTAGGAAAGGGAAGTACGCGGTTACTTCTTGATAAGAGATTTTGGAACGAACAAAAATTTGGTCATGACTTCCAACAGGACTCGAAACCTAGAATAACTGTGCTGGCGAGGGCCAGCGCTAAATTGCTGCGCTGCTATTGGTTCCACACAGAACTCCTTTTTCTAACCTGCTTTCCTAAAATAGGCTTATACGATCTTCATCCTGTGTTCGCGAATCCCCCCCTCCCGGCCATGAACTTTTGAATGCCTGGACGAATCGTAATGAAACTTGGTTTATATATCATGGCACCCGAACCCATTTCAGCGGCGTACTTCATAAGTCCCTCTCATCAGTCTATGTGTCTATATGTCTATCCCCCCCTGCCGTTGCTAGACAACGGCTCGGTAAACACGTTCCCTCTGTAACGAATACACGCTACAGTAAAATAATTGTTGGACGCATCATTTTCTATGCTGTCTTTATGTATCCCCTGTCGTTCCCAGGTAAAATAATTCGATAAGGACGTTTCCGCGGCAACAAAGAATTGTTGGAGATATCGTTTTCTATGCGGTCCATGTCGTATTAAAGGAAAGTAGGCGATTTGTTGTTCGCAGAACTTCTTTCTCATATTAGCATTGTTGATTGTACGGATTCTGCTACCGTACAATTAACTCCATGTCCTGTAGTCTGCAATCGAACTGTACCGACCGAGCGACCGCCGATTGTCGGCGAAGTTAGTTCCAACTTTAGCGGATAGAGGGTGTCGCGTGGTCAGCGCAACGGATCCCCACGGCCGTTAATCTCGGGTTTCTAGACCGGAGCCGCTATTTCCTTGAAATAGCTTCTCAGTTATTCTCACGAGGCTGAGTGTACCCCGTTCCAGACCAACTACTTCTCATAAAATCTGGTAGTGTGGTAGTGCCGGGAATCGAACCAGGGACCTCTGGATCTGTAGCCAGGAAGTCTGACCACTAGACCACAGAGGCGTAGAATTAGGTTGGTAAAATTTGTAAGGCGTACTAAGGCTGAGAACCACGTTTTGAACTCCACTAGTGTAACACGCTACACAATTAGGCCTCTTGAGGTCCCGTATAGCTTGATGATCCTGTTCTTCCCCGTCCTGAGTAGTAAGCCTTGGCAAATGTAATGTTACACACAGGCGAAACGAGGCTTCATTCGCCCTTATATGTTATAACAGCACGGCCCCCTGGATAATGAAAGGGCTCTTCGAGGGGGGGGGGTGACCTCCAGATTCGTTGGCGTGCACACTCAGTTCATCACAGGAAAATGAGCCAGAATTTGTCTGGATGTTCTTCCTGAAAACGGAGAGATGTTGCTATGTGAATTTATATTACCGGTTTCCCTATAGGCGATGTAAGGAACGAAGCTGAGATGTCACATGTGACACATCTCAACAGATTTCGATTTGGATGTCTACATAAAAATCGTCGGACATTTTTTACTCTAAAATATTATATTTGCTAAAACTATATTGTGCCGGTCACTGGAGCCGAGCGGTCTAAGGCATGTTCGAATCCCACACAAGGCGTGGATGTTTGATATGTGTTTATTTTGTGATTGTGTTGTCCTGTGTTTATGTAGAGGCCTTGCGACGAGATGATCGTCCGTCCGTGGAGTCCTGACATCTGTAAAAATGATCATAAAAGTGAAAAATCAAAATCCAGTGCCAAAATGGGCTGTAGAATCAGTGAATAAGGTATAAGTACAGTTTCCCCGTAGTTAATTAAACTTAAACCCATAAGGACTTAATGGGGATTGGATTTATGGTTCCATCATTCTTGAGGGGTCACCTTCACGCCTCAGCCGCTTTCTCCCCGCCTATTTATAAGTAGTCCCTCCGGTACCCATTGGATAGGAGGCTGGGTCGGCCCCAGAGCCGGTCTGGACACTGTTGAGGAGTGAAAAATCAGCCACTCCTACCGGAAATCGAAGCCCGATTCTTCAGTTCTCGAGCTCGTAGTATAGTCACTATACCGACTGAGCTATTCCGAGTCTTTTGTATAATATATTATCACGTATTCAGTGACCAGACATGATGTTTGGATTGTTAATTGGGTTTATTGACCACTAAGCACTGGTAACTGTAACGGTTGTACCAATTTATGTTCTTTGCAATTCACTACAGCACGCACCAAGTCTTTTCAGTCTGCCATGTCTTCACTGCTCGCCGCCTGGTAGGAGATCCCGTGACAGCTTCCGTGTTCACTTCCGGCTGCAGACTGTCTCATTAATCCTCATGGCCGCAACTCTGGCTATTGAGTGCCTAGCCGTGTCTGGCCACCACTCGCTGTTACAGTTTCGTCTGCTCCGTCGGTTTAATTGCATAGCTCCAGTCTCCCCAAGATCCCTAACCAAGATTTTTATTCTCTCCTAGACATGTACGTGTTTCGAAATGGGGTCTCCTCTTCGAAGGGACTGGGAATCACTCTTTCTATGTACACGCTACGTTTGTTGCACCGCAGTTCCAGCACGAGTATATCCGCGCTGTCACTGTGGGCTCTGTGCATCCTTTCAGTGCGCGAGAGTACAATTGGGTCTCCCTGGTCCCGAGGGATATAAATACGGGGACCTCGGCCTGCAGGTTGGGGGAGTCTCGAATCTGAAACAGTAAAATTTGGTCATGAGTCCCGCGGGACTCGGACCGGAGAATGACTGCGCTTGCGAGGGCCGCCAGCAATTGTAAATGACCGACCATCCTCTCGTCAGAGAGAGGGTGCCCCATGAGAACAAACCCGCAACTGTCTGACAGTAATAAGAATCTGGTTTTGGGCCCCAGGCGGGTGCTTGACACCTAGACAGACTGGCCGACAGACTGTTGGTCGTAACATAACTTTGACTAATTAATGTGATAAACTTCTGGGGAGATGAAACTCTATTAGCCCTTCTGGAATCGAACTCTTGTTACTTATCCAAGATTGTCTGACTTTATAATTACCATAAAGCAATAACAATTATAATCGTCGTTTATTTTTGAAGTAGTTTATATCGAATTGCATATCGAAAATTCAGTGTTTCTAAACCACTGGCGATACTTGGTTGTAGCCCAGATGGCGCCGCACGTGTATATGAAGTGACATTAAGTTTGTTTTTCTTCCAGGAGATGGCACTGATGACCAGCCTTTCGTCACGGACCGGGAGAAGATGTCAGGGTATGAGACGAACCTGTACCTGTACTCGGTGAGTTTATGCGCATGTGCCACGCGGAACAAGCCACCGCCTCGTGCCCCAGAAGACACTAACCTCCATTCAGAATTACTGGGGGTTCGGACTTCCTCCATCGTCCGGTATTGTAGAAACTAGAGAACGCAACGTTTCGGAAACTAGATCTGTTTCCGTCCTCAGGCGAGTGGGAGACACATACTCTTTCAGGTTTCCGAAACGTCGTGTTTTCTGGAATATCAGACGATGGACAAAGTCCAAAACCCCAATAACTCTTGAATGTTATACACCATCGCCAGAACCCTTTAGAGCAGTGGTTCTCAACCTTTATGAGACCGCAGCCCAATAAGTTCTTTTTTTATAAGACGAGGGCCCAGTCCTAACAAATTTACTCGTAAATACCTTTCCAGTTTTGTTAAAGTTCATGCATTAAGCTAACGTAATATTAGTAATTAATTATAGCATAATCATAAAGAGTATTAGTACACTTATGTATACGGTGTGGCATGCTGACAAACATAAAATTACATTTAAATTAGTTATCAGTTAGTTAGTAGATGGCTTCATAGCTTCATTTCCCAGAACAGTAGCACAAATGACACATTGAGGTCGTGGCAATTGGTCAGTGTTAGGGCATTGTATGAAACCAAATTTTAAGTAGCTGTGCATGTACTTACTTTTTCTTCTGTGTGCTGGTGGTTTTCCCTTCATTTTGTACATCCTGGAGATCGCTATGTAGTCTTGAGGTGGATGAATCACTACT